TGTTGCAGAGCACAGGCTCTGGACGCGCAGGCTCAGCGGCCATGGCTCACAGGCCTAGCCGCTCCGCGACATGTGGGATCTTCCCGGACCGGGGCACGAACCCGTGTCCCTTGCATCGGCAGGCAGACCCTCAACCACTGCGCCACCAGGGAAGCCCCAATTTCGTTTTTATTAAATCGTCCACTGCTAAGATATATGAACGTCTGAGTATTTATAAACTAATGGCAGGATTGAAAGGAGGTATTTCCTGTACCTGTCATTTTGAGAAACAAGATTATTTCCACTCCCCACTGTAGTTGAGGAATGTGATCATATTATCTCTTAAAGTGAAACAAACTAGGGACTTTTCTCTTGATTTCCTCATCTTCATGAAACCCTGTAAAGCATCAAGTTAAGCCCAGGTGATAGAATAATTAGTAAGATCATGGCTAGATGCTGCTAGACTGGCTGTTCTGGTCTCAAACTAAATATGAAAAATTGGGGTTGGGACTTTGCGAATTCATATCAAGCTCAAAGGTATTCATATTAAGTATGTGAAAACATCACTGAGATCTTAACAATGATGATACAGACTTGACCTTGCAGATTACAACTCGAATCAATTCTTTTATCATCCAGTGGGATTTTTAAAGGGGTCCTCTGGGTGTATCATAAACTTGCTTACTCTGCCTAAGTATCTCCAATCCAGAAGGTCTGAAAGCCTCTCGGTTCGGTTCCTCTGAATAATCCTCTGGCGGCGTGACTGTTTGCAAAATCCATAGAGAAACTGAGTCAGCTGATTGCAAGAATCATCCAGTGAGCGGAATCGCCTGTCAACGATGTAAATACCTGAGGCGCACAAAAGCCAGAGCACAAGTCAAGATAAGGCTAACCTTAAAGCACTTCTACTGTTCCTTAGGGTCTACCACGAACTGCGTGATTATCCACTCCCTGACTCCCCGACTGCCTCTGCTTTATCTTTTCGCTTCTGAGACTGTATTTCTCCTGTGATTTCCTTCTAATGGCTCAAAATTGTCATCAACACACAGCCAACAAAACAGATATTGCTAAAGAAAATCTGGCAGTACAGGGATACCTCGGATCAGTGATCATCCTTGGGGCTTCTCACTAAACAGAACCTCCGGGGTAAGACCTGGGTCTCAGTGCTTTTTAGGTTCCCCAGTGTCCCCACCGTGTAGCCACGGGTGAGGACCAGAGCTGTCAACCAAGGAAAGACAACAGTGACAATGCAATTCTAAAAGACCAGAGAATCGGCAATGTCCAGGCAGAGCATCCAGCCCATTCTAACTTTTCTTGCTGCTAGGCAGCATGGACATATAGATGGTGATACCATCTGCCATCTTAAATGTGAATTTTGATAACTTGGCATGGAACTTATAAAATAATTATGCTGATCAATACATGTGCTCTAAAGCCATGGTTATTGTGATTGTCACTTCTAGGTAATAGAGGACCAAATCAGTCCAGAAAAATAAAAAGGTGAAAAGGCAATGTTTGTCCAAGTTTAAAACTCCTTTTGTAGTTTGTCTTTTGAGCAATATGTTCAATATTAATATCACTATAATCTTTTCTATGGACCATATAATGAAATCTACTTTTAATTAAACAAGAAGTATAAAAAGTTTAATCATCAAGATAGCATTAGAGTCGGGCTCTGTAAAGACCCCGTGCTTTGTTTGCTTAGAGGTCCCTTCTCCCCCAGTTGGGTTCATGATGAAAAGCCTCACCATATGCTGTGGGATCAGCCACATGCTCCTGCATGAAACAGCCAAAGCCGGAGAGGTTGGTGGTCACACTGGGGATACCCATCACAGTGCATTCGGCTGCCAGGGGAAATAGACAAAGGCTTGGCTTCAAACCAGCAACAATATCCTCTTACACACGCAGAGAAGGAAAAGCCCCAGTCCACCTAGTAATAACATTTATTTTATGCCAGGCACGGTACTAAGCTCCTTACATGCATGAACTAATTTAATCTTCTCAACCACCTTATGAAGTGAGGCTACCATTATCCCCATCTTACAGACGAAGACATTGAGGCACAGAAAGGTTAAATAGCTTCCTCAGCTTCACCAAGCCAGGCAACGTGGTAGAGCTGGGATTTGAAGCCAGGTGCCCAGCTCCAGAGCCCTTGCTCAGAACTGCTACCCTACACTGCCTCTCTCATTCCAGCTGGCTTTGTTTTTTGCTCTGTTCTAAGCTTGTGTCACTGAGTATTTGGCAAGTTTACGGGGTAAGTAAATATGTTTTGGAAAGAACAAGCTCTTCCAATATTTTCACCTCTCTTGCCACCAACCCCTTCCACTTTCTCGGGTGCTCAGCAAACCCATGGTTTCTTTCAATCCTCTACCACCTTTTAGTCAAAACCCTTTTTTTAGACAATATCAGATGTGTCTTAAGACATGTTAACACACTGAAGGATGTTTGAATTGTTAACATGAAATTTATATTTTATTATGGAATTTCTCTTGGTTGGCTAGTGGGGATGGGTGGATAAAAAGAGACTTCCTCATGACCCGTGTACTCCTGTTCTGCAAGTATTTCCTCTTGGTTTAGCTCTAGAGAACAGTGGTTTCCGAATCTGGGGGGAAGACGGTAGAGAGGGGAGGAAGGTGGGACGGGGATTATTGACCCATTTGAGAATCAGATGAAAACTCTGGAACTCGTCCCCAGAAAAATTTTGCCTACAAGTCTATGGAAATTCACAGATCCTTATTTCTATTAAATACTCATTGACACCCATATAATAAAATGCCAGGGACCCACGTAAGCTGAGTATATGTTCACTGAGTGAATTTAATGAAGTCAGCGTTTATCTTCACTGGGTTTTCTCAAAACACAAAACACAGATTTTAACACTTTCTGGAGTGAGAGTTAGTACAGCATAAAGCAATTATGTAAAAAAAGTTAGAGAGGTATCTAATATGCTAATGCCAAATGTATACCACCAGAGGTTTTGTTGTTTCTATAAATAAGGAGGGACCAACTTCTTTTGGTTAATTTATTATTTACTTATTTATTTTGGCCACACCATGCGGCTTGTGGGATTTTAGTTCCCCAACCAGGGATCAAACCCGGGGCCCTCGGCAGTGAGAGCACAGAGCCCTAACCACTGGACAACCAGGGAATTCCCCTTTGGTTAATTTAAAACAGAGAATGACTCATTCACTATAGGGAACATATTTCTCACATCCTTTTTTCCATCTACTTATTTTTCACAACACATTTGCTGGCCTTTATCTTAACACACTAAATATATTTCCTCTGTCATTTCATGTTAAGTTTACCTTTGTCCTATAAAATGATATTCTGGCAGAAAGGCTGCTGTAAGTTAGATAACATTCTCTTTACCCAATATAAATGACGTCCCACATTCCCTTGGTCACTCATGCTTTGGTTTTGTACTTCTTTGCTCTCGATATTTCCAATCGTAAATTATGTTACTTCCTAGAAATAATAGGAATAAGAGCCTATAACAAAGTTTTAAGTTCATCAAGTGAATTGTTTTCGTGTATCTCAAAAGATACTCTATTATAAGCAATTTAAGATAACTATGCGGGCATTTCATAGGTAAGAAGACACTGCCTTCACAAAAGTGGAATTTGTGCCGAGAACAATTTTTAGAACTACAAGAGAGGTAGCTGGAGGAGTTAGATCAGTAACTTTTCTCTGTCATGTTTCAAGAATGGATAATTCTTTTTCAATCTTCCCCCAAAAGTTCTAATGGTTTTACAGCTGCTGGCAAATTATTCTTGGTGGAGCCTAGAACAATAGAATGGGACCTACATCAAAAGATGAAGAGCCTTCATGTCACTCCTATTGCAAAGATTATAGTATCCTATTTATACAGAATTTTAAATTCTATACTAAAATTCTGGGATCAACATGTAAAGATTAGAAAAAAATCTTCATAATTCAGTCTATGACTTCTCTAACCCTGACTGCTGCTGCCCTTTACTTGGCCTATAATGACATTGAGATGCAGAAGGAAAAATGTATTCGTTATAAATAAATATGTTTTCTGAGCTTTTTCTTTTACAGTTATAAATGGAATTATATCTATACTAGGAGGAAAATCGCTGTTTACCGAGAAGATGGAAAAGCCATCGTTGTCTTCTTTGCATTGGCATACATTTAAAGTATTGTTTCTTTTCTAATTAGGCATTTCAGTACAAATACAAATTGATGGCTCTTGATGCTAATGGCAACCATGCTAGTAGGGACCAGAAAAGAAAAATAGATAGTGGATCTGAGAATCCACCATCCGAACAGAAAGGGCGGCAGGTGGAGTGTCTGAATTGAGCTATGTCATTGGGCATAATACCTACCACGGAACCGGCATTCTATGTTAAAAGTACCTCATTGTTGAAACACAAGGGTGTGAAGGTGACTTCTCACTGTTCATCTCTATACTATTTGTGTCTAAAACTATATGAATGTGTTATCTAATTAAAAGATACATATATCCTTTCATTTAAACAAGAATTCTGAAATAAATTTTAGAACAATTTTAGAAACAAAAATTTTTTCTCATATTAACCTCCTTGCAGTTAATTTTGCCTTCATACTAATGGGTAGGACTGGTGAAGATATAATCTTTATAAACCATTCTTTTTCTTTGGAATGCAATGAGGCAACAATTCAGATACCCCCTAAAATATGCCCAACCACAACCTCCTATACTTACATAAAAGATTATGTATTATGTCCTTGCTCTTAGGTCAAGAGCTACAAAACATAAAATGGACCCCTGGGATAGATCCAACCATTTCTACTAAGGTTTTGGTTTTGTAGTTTTAAATGACATATCATTTAGAAATGACATATCAAATATTACATACATGTGCATAAAATAATATACTAATAAAATCTAAAACACTTCACAATCTATACGTGTCACATACCTGGAGTATAACCCCAGGGTTCATAGTATGATGGAAATACTCCAAGATGACAACCTCGGACAAACTCTTCATAATCCATGGGTAACAAGGGGCTGGTGGAGGATAGGAACTCTGGGTGCAAAATCACCTGAAAAAGAAAAATTCTAATGAGAAAAAAGAGAAAAGAAAGAAGAAATTAAAGCAAAAAATCTCCTACAGTTTTGTTATTTCAATATTTCAATACTATAGAATCCTTGTGTTCTAGATTCTGGGGAAAGAAAGAGAGAGATAAGAAAAAAGAAAAAGGAAAATGTCCGGGTGTTTTTTACTCCTCTCTCGTTCTCTGTAAATATCTATCTGAGTACTAACTTTCCCTCAGGTTTCCAGGCCTAGATTAGAGGATAGGGAGTAATTATATCCATTTTTGTTCTCATGCTAAACTCCTCCAACCCAGACTTTACTGACAACAAAGATTTTACTTGGTTCTCTGACTGCTGGCCCTTGTCTTGTTTCTCAATTTATTCCCACCTTGAGCAGGATAAAGGGGAGCTACCCTTATATGCCCCAGGCATAAGTTAGCCAAGTGAAACGGAACTAAGGGCTAATTGCAAGCTACCAATGTGATGTCACTGAACTGGAGATGGGAAGAGCAGCAGTACCTCCTTATAGAATATTTCCACCATGTGAGTACAATAGTCATAAATAACCTCAAGATCATAGGTAATAGGAAAATGCAGTAAACAACTAGGATGCAATGAGTTTTGAGCATTACCTTTCTTTTTAGCATAATTGATTTTTTTAAGTTTATGTAATTTAATTTTACACAATGGTTGTGTTTAAAACTGGCCTACGGCATTTCTGAAAATTCAGCAATTGGCTCTTGTGCACTGGTATGAGTCTTTCTTGGACTGCACAGCCTGTAATGTTCTGCAAAGGCGGAGACCAGAGACAGCCAGCTATACTTGGAAAGTTGTGAATAGAATAGCTACTTAACTGGTCACCTAGATGAATGAGTTCTATTTCTCCTATTTATTAAAATGATTAATTATAAATTATAATATAATTATAATGTATAAATTATATTATTATCCCAGTACTTTAAAATCTGATTTTAAAAATGTATTAGAAATTATTTTTAATAACTTACTTAGCTTACTTAGTCTTAGGCTGACAGATAACAGAAAACTGGTTTGGTGAGAGCTTTCATAAAATGGGGAAATAGGAGAATTATATATATGTTTATGTATAAATTATATATTTTTTTAAATTATATTAAAATTTAATTTTATATGAATTATATATAAAATTATATATAAATACATGTATATATGTATATATATATAATTTGAAAAAAATCCCAAATTTACAGAAAAGTTGCAAGTACAGTGTGAAAAGAATTAATATTTTTTCGAACCATTTGTGTATAAATTGCTGACTGGATGCCCATCATCCACAAATACTTCACATGTATTTTCTACAAACAAGAACATTCTCCCTTAAAATACTAAAAATAGAGTTACTATATGATCATGCAATTCCACTCCTGGGCATATATCTGGAGAACTTGAAAAGCACCCCAATGTTCATAGCAGCACTATTTACAATAGACAAGACATGGAAGCAACCTAAATGTCCATCAACAGGTGAATGGATAAAGAATATATATATATATATATATATATATATATATATTAATATATATGTACATACACACTCACATATAATGGAATATTACTCAGCCATAAAAAAGAATGAAATAATGCCATTTGCAGCAACATGAATGGACCTAGAGATTATCATATTAAGTGAAGTAAGTCAGATAAAGACAAACATGATATCACTTAATGTGTGGAATCTAAAAAAATGATACAAATGACCTTATTTACAAAATAGAAATAGACTCATAGACATAGAAAGCAAATTTATGGTTACCAAAGGAGATAGTGGTGGGGGGGAAGAAAGATAAAGTAGGAGTTTTGGATTAACATATATACACTACTATATAGAAAAGAGATAAACAACAAGGACCTACTGTATAGCACAGGGAACTAGACTCAATATCTTGTAATAACCTATAATGGAAAAGAATCCAAAAAGAATATGTGTGTGTATATATATATATATATATATATATATATATATATATATATATGCATGCATTGTGTGTGTGTGTGTGTGTGTAGGTATAACTGAATCACTTTGCTATACCGATGAAACTAACACAACATTGTAAATTAACTATACTTCAATTAAAAAAAGAACATTCTCTTACATAACCACACTATAAGCATCAAAATCAGAAAATTAACATTGATACATCACTACCATCTAATCCTTAAATCCCATTCAACTTTCTCCAGTGGTTCAAATACTGTCCTCTAAACCAAACGACCCAGTTCACAGTCACATGTCACATTTAGTTGTCACTTCTCTCTAGTCTCCTTTAGTTTGGAAGAGTTTGAGGCCTTTTTTGGGCTTTCATAACCTTAATACTTTTGAAAACTACAGTCTAGTTATTTTGAAATTTGACCTTCAGTTTGGGCTTGTCCTATGCTTCCTCATGGTTAGAGTAAGTTATGCATCTTTGGTAGATATAGCACAGAGGTGATACTCTGTTATTCTCACTGCATTTCATCAGGTGGCAAGGGATTTACACTTTATTCATTACTTCTGATGTTTACTTTGATCTATTGGTTAAAGTCATGCCTTTTTGGCTTCTCCACTGTAAAATCTTCTTCTGTTTCTCCTTTGTTATTAGTAAGTATTTGGGGGGAGTTATTTTGAAACTATATAAATATCCCATTCCTCAATAAACTTGTATTGGATTCATGGTTCCCTGTGTTATTCAATGTATTCTAATTCATTGCTATCTTTATTTATTTTGATACTTAAATTGTGCCTAATTTGGCCAGTGGGAGCCCCTTCAAACTGGTTTCTGTAAACTTTTGACGGATCTCCATCATTCTTTGAGCATTTCTTTGATTTTTTGACACAAGAAGAAATTCTAGACTCATCTTTTACTTTTCCTGCCACAGCCCTGGAAGTAACAATTTCTTCAGTGAGTGCTGGTTCCCTTTAGTGTAGAATGATATAAAGACCTGGGTGTTAGATGTGCTCATTGTTATTGGGGTGTTACAGGCCCTCTCAGCAGTCAGAGAGACACAATATACAACACACTCACACACACACACACACACACACACACACACACACACATCTATACTTAGTTTCATTATCTTTAATACTTATTGGGTCAATCCCTGATATGATCTGAATGTTGTGTTCCCTCCAAAGTTCATATACTGAAATCATAAACCCCCAAAGACGGATGGTATTTGAAGGTGGGGCCTTCAAGAGGTACTTAGGTCATGAGGATGGAGCCCTCATGAATGGGATTAGTGCTCTTATGAAAGAGGCTCCAGGAAATTCCCTGGCCCCTTCAACCATGTGAGGACATAGTGAGAAGCTGCAATCTATGAACCAGGAAGAGGGCCCTCACCAGAGCATGACCAGGTTGGCAACTTGACCTTGGACTTCTCAGCCCCTAGAACTGTGAGAAATAAATGTCTGTTGTTTAGAAGACAAGCAGTCTGTGGTATTTTGCTACAGCAGCCTGAACAGACTCAGACAATCCCCCTCCACTTAACTAGTCTCTCCACGGCCTCTCTCTCACTCCACTCTGGCTCTGACACCTGCTGTGAGTGTCTCTCCCCACTGCGTGGACCTTCCCCACCTTGCCTGGGCTCTGACTCCTTTCTATGGACTACCCCAGCATGCCCCCCCTTCCAGTGTAGACGCCTACCTTGTGCTGACCCACCTAATGGCTTTAGAACTGGACTGTTTGGGAAGGAGAAAGAGAAACAAGGAGAGGAAAAGGAAGAGGAAAAAGAAACTTTTTTTTAACAACTACAACAAAAGTATTAGACAATAACAGTTGTCTAATACTTTATATAAGTCACTTTCACGCATATTACCTGATTTAATCTTAGCAACATTGTGTGATGGGGACTGTAGACATTCTCATTGTCCTAATTTTAGAAATAAGGAAGCTAAGACTTTAGAAGCATTGGTTATATCTCAGCAGATCCATAAATAGCAGACATGTTAAACTCAAGAAGGAATAAAATGGTAAAAATGTCCAAAACCAGTACCTACAAATGATGGTTTATTCAATCACAAGAATCACAAATTGGCAAAGCAAAAATGGATAAAATATTTTCCTCCACAAAACATAATTTTAATTCCTATTACATATAAAATATTGCACTAGGAAAAGAGACGAAAGACATAGACAGTTGACTGAGTCTGGGCAACCATCAAGTCAGAAGCCCATTGTACTCTGTTGGTAAATATATCAGCAAAGGGGGATTTAAAAGGCATTGTGCCTACTTTGGCATTTCCAAACTTCGGAAAATTTGTACTCTCCAAAGCCCATTTTGGAACATGAAAACATCATGGCTCATTCGTTTTGTTCCCAGCCAAAGAGAATGACAGCATGACTAAAATAAGAAAACAGCTGCCCTGGGTCCTAGAACAGCCAATGGCAGAAGCTCAGGGCAGAGGACAGGATGCCAGAGGTCAGCCCAAGGTTACAGGGAGGATTAAATGAGATCCTATATGCAAAGCCCCCCAGCAGAGCACCTGGTTCACAGCAAGTACATGGATCAGTGGGGATAAAACAAATAAACAAAAACTTGTGGGACTGTATTTATCCTGGGAGGGAAGTAAGGTCCCAGGAAGTTAGTTTACTTTCGCAGCATGGCAGCACAGGGTCCAGACCTGAAATCTGCTGTCTAGACTTTTCTCACTATACCTTGCAACTGAGGCAGGATGGATGATAAATTCAAGTTTAAACCTGAATCAAATGGTCACATTCATATAAAAAACTTGTCAATCCAGTCGGAGAGTTAAGAACCACTCTATAGCCATCTATAAATATGCAGATGATCACATAGGTACTTATATTAACACAGGCCCTGAATTAGTGTCAAGCTTTTAAAGGATGCTCTTAATAAAATGAAATACCTAATTCTGAATCGACCAATGTCTATCTCAGTGCTTTTGAGTGTATATTGTTAGAAAGGGGCTATTCTTTTTTTTTTTTTTTTTTTTTTTTTTTTTTTTTTTTTTTGCGGTACGTGGGCCTCT